AAATGACAGACCCATTGGCTCAAGCTTCAGAACACCAAATTAAGAACAGTAAAAAAGCTATCTTTGGCTAGCCTAACCCTCTTCTAAATATAGAAGAAATAGGGTAATATTCAATAGGCTTCRCATCGGCCACACCCACGAATGCCAAAATTAATGGCAAAAGAAGATAGACCTAGTTGCAATTATTACTCAAAGAATATTCCCAATACACACACAAAATTAGCAGGCTCAACTCAACCATCAACTTAAACGCAGCACTCGACCCGACACAGATACCATCACTACACTAATTTTAAAGTTTTAAAAAAATACCAAATTGTAATACAACTAAATATTACAAAAAATGTTTAATTAAATGACATTGCTGACAATTTTGTTAAAAAAAAAAAAAATAATAATAATAATATAAAAAACTTAAGTATTATATAATATAATATATGTATACTTCTATATTAAAATATCAATATATGTATCATTGTATCATTGTATCATTGTATCATGTAATTTAAAAAAACTTAATTTAATATTTAAAATGAGAGCAAAATATCTTAAATACATCCTTTTGTTTTGAAATTGTTACATTGTTTAATTTTTATAATGTAGTTTTATTTTATATTACAATAACAATACGATTATTGTTATTACTATTCAAATGAGTCTATTCAACTCAGTTCGTATTCTATATATTACACTATGSGTATATTATTATTTATTTTTCATCACACATCGACATCAGTAAATCGATCATTWTAAACAATAATTTCATACAGTAACAATATTCATTAAAAATTACAGTAAGTGTYCGATGTAATGTTAAGTATGCAAACGCAAGTCGAAAGTTATATTATTGTATAATATCAAAAATATTTTTCTATGCATTTTATATTATAGTTGAAATTTTAACCTACTTTCGGGTTRCGAAGTTACGATATGGTGTACTTGTCAAAAGAACCCTACTCAGAAGTTTATTGTGGTCAGCCTTTATCATATTTCRAGTTAAGGGGTAGTATTGTTCACACAGAGCCYCTTCTACTGTCGGTTTTAACAGGAAAGAAAATACATTACGATTAAATAGATCGTAGGTAGGTACCTACTACCTACATATTCTACTATAAGTCATCAATATTTGACTAATATCAACATAYTGTTAGAGAAGAAGTCATATTGTTTAATTGAGGTTCAATTTTATAATTATGTTTGAGTTATTTTATAGAAACTTGCATTTTATTAAAAAAATATTAATATACATACAAAA